TGTTTCATCTGCTGTTTCAGTGGTAGTCTCACCTCCCATTGTGGTGGTAGCACTTAGATTAGTTGTGGTTGCTGTGCCAGGTGCAACTGTGGTACCTGATGCTATTGCTGAGGCAGAATTAGAATTAACAGTGGTAGAAATACCAGATATTTGCATGGTGGTAAAATCAAGAGTTGTAGCCAGACTGGCTGACCTTGATACATCATTTCCAAGGGTTGTGGTGGCTTCTGTAGGAGTTGTGGCTATGGTTGTAGCATCAGGTACAGGGGTGGTGGCTCCATCATATGGAGATGTGATGAGAGCTGTATCAGTCGATTCACTGGTTTGCTCATTAATTAGAGTAGTAGTTTCAGTGGTTGTGTCATCTGCTGATTCAGTGGTCTCTTCAATCACTATTGTGGTAGCTTCTGTGTCAGCTGTTAATTCTGTAGTAATTTCATCCCCTGCTGTAGTAGAATCAAGAGAGGTTATTTCTCCACCAGTGGTTAAAGCACTGGGGTAAGTTGTGGAGGAGGAAGCCACAGGATGTGTAACTGTGGCAGCACTGTTGGTTGTGGCAGCAATGCTAGGTCCAGTGGAGTTAGAAGCAACAGTAGAGGTTGTGGCACTTGTGACTGAAGATGTGGTTTTATCGTTGATAGGGACAGAAACTCCTGTTGGTGTGGAAGGTATTGCAGTAGTGGCAGCAGCAGCAGAGGTACTTGAAACATTTGAAGTTATAGTGGCAGTCTGGACAGTCTGAACAGTGGAAACATTTGTTGCATTTTTTTCATCATCTGAGGCATTGGATGCAGTAGTGGAAGCAGAAGTTACGAGAGATGTGGCACCAGCTTCGACGTTTGAGGCGATCTTTGTGGATGCGGCACTTAATGTTGAGTTAATGGTTGATGTCACTAGCATTGTGGTGGTAGTCATTGAGGTTGTTGTAGCTGATCCTTGAATTTCAGTAGCAGTTGTGCTAGTTGAGGTAACTGACACAGATGTTTTACTATTGGATTCAGTACCAGTGGTTGTGGCTAAATTAGTAATTGACCCAAGTTCAATAGCGGTTGCATTGCTTGGGATATTATTAGTCAAGTGAGCTGACTCAGTTGTAACGACTCCCGCGCTTGGTGCATTAGTCTGAGATTCATAGTGAGGTAGTTTATGAGGCAAATTAGGATGATGGTGGTGGTGGTGGTGGTGGGAGGAACTCTGACATCCTTTCGGACGTTTAGGTTGTAGAGTTGGTCGTGGACAAGGTTTTTTTGGGTGAGGCTGAAATTCAGCAAAAGGGTGTGATATAAAATTAGGTAAAAGAGAGTTGGAGAAAGGTGGCAGAAACAGTTTTGAGACTTTCTCGAAAGGTTTACGTTTACTTTGTACATCCTGGGAAAATGGACATTTTTTTCCTTTAGTTGAAGCAGGTTTAGATCCTTTTGCTTTAGATAATTTTACCCTTTTCTTGCCAGATATCTTTTTGCTAGATTGTTTTACAATTTTGCCTGCTGCAAGAGGTGGCTTTTTTAATTCTCCAAAGGGTTTTAAAGTATTTGCGCCTTTCTTAGGTTTGGGAAGTCTTTTATTGGATTTGCTTTTATTTCCTGGTGGAATTGCAGGTTTTTTAGATTGCTGTAGGGGTTTACTTTTTACTAAAGGTGATTTAGGAGTCCCTCTACCTACTATAGGTTTATTCTTTTGTTTTTTGGCAGGAATAGATTTCTTCTGAGCATTTTTCTTGGTTAGATGTCTTTTTGGTGCAGTCTTTTTCAGAGGTTTTCTAGCCTTTACAGGAGGTTTGGACTTTGGTGTTGGCTGATTCAATTGTTTCTTGGCGGATGTGGACAGGGATTTTTTGCTTTTCTTTGTGACTTTCTTTTTGGCCAGGGATGTTTCTGTAGGTGGTTTAATGGGATTTCTACTATTCTGTTGTTTCTTTGCAGATATAGACTGAGATTTGTTGACATTCCTCTTTTTGGATACAGAGCTTTTGGAAACTGGAGGGCTGCCATTCTTTGTTTGACTTGAATGCTTCCTGGAAGTTTTAGGCAAAGAATTTTTAGCTATAGTGATGGACTTTTGCATTTTAGGCTGAGTAACTTTTTCCTTGGCAGGTGCAGCAGAGGATATTTTAGATTTCTTTGCTATTTTACTTTTGCCGGTAGATGATTTCCTTTTTGTTGCCACTGCTGTCGACTTTTTCTTGGCAGGTGTAGATGTTTTTTTATTATTTGGTGTTTTCTTAGAGGCAAGAGATTTTATTTCTGATGTTTTAGTTGTTGCTGTCTTTTTCTTAGGAGAAGAAGCAACAACAGAGTTTTTAGATTTCCTTCCATTTTTTGATTTTGCTTGAGATATTTTGGCTAGTTTAGCTGCTTGAACTTCCCTATTCAGTGTTTTCTTATCTGACTTAGATGGTACATTTTTAGATTTAGTTAGACTTTGCTTTTTGGGTTTGGAAGCTGCTTTTGTTGCTCTTGCCTTACTTTGCTTCCTCTTGGTTGTAGTTAATGGCTCATTATTTTGTGTCTTCAGACTTTTCTGTCTGGCTAAGGTTGTTTTTGAACTTCTTTCAACTGCTGTGGACTGATTCTGCTTTTTCTTGGCAGATGAAGTCAGCTGTCTCTTTGACTTATTTGGGCTTTTCTTTGACTTTGGAGTTTTCAGTGGAGTTTCTATTGCTGTCGCCTTAGAAGACTGTTTCTTGAAGGTTGTAGACAGGGCTTCTTTAGGAGATTTGCTCTTAGGTGAAGATGTTTTTGAAATTTCTTTAATTGTGGGTTGAGTTAACTGTTTCTTAGCAGAGGTGGTTTGGGACTGCTTAGATTTTTTTGTACTTTTCTTTGAGGATGAAACATTTTTTGCTGATGTTCTTGGCTTAGCCTGGTGTTTCTTGTCAGAGACAGACAGGGGTTTTTTAGACTTACTCTGACTTTTTATGGTGGCTAAAGCTGGTTTTGACCTACTGGTAGCCTGTCTTGACTGTTTCTTGTCATTTGTCAGTTTACTTGTGCTCAGTGGAGCATTCTGTCCTGTTAGACCAGATGACTGGAATACCGATCCTTTCTTGGCAGAGCTCTTATAATTATCTTGTAGCTTTTGTCTTTGCAAAGACCTGACAGATTTTTTCTTTACAGCTGATGTCCTAGAATTTGGGGATACTCCACTGACTGCTTTGCCAGTCAACACAGAAGGAGATGCAACCCTAGCATGGAGGGACTTTGATTTTTGAGAGTTGACAGGTGAGGCAGGGTCACCAGACAGCGCTTGAGACTTTCCAGTGAGCTGGGTTGATGGAGACCGTCTCTGTGGTATTCTACTAGCAGAGCTTTGGGCTTGTCTACTGTTGACAGGCTTTCTTCTTGGCCTTTGCTGTGACTGCTGACACTCACTCAACTGTAGGAGGCAAAGAGTAGGTGATAATACCAAGTGAAACATTCAGTCAAGTATTATGTTTATTTTCATCTATAACTATGAAGTGGTCTCTATTCCTCAGGTTAAGGATGCTTTTGCTTTGAGAGTCATATATAAGTTATACATAATTAAAATATGTGATCATTAGAGAGAACACCTATTGTTGTTATTGGGTGCCAACAAGCAGGCATCAATGCTAAGTGACCGTACGTGACAGAACATAACCGACCCATATATTTTTCAAAGTTGTAAAGTTTATGAGATAAACAGAGTTCCTAGTGGGTTTCCAATAGCCAATCTTTGGGTAAGAAGCCACATATTTAACTGTTAAGCCACAAAGAAAACATCCAAGTGCTTAATTGCTGCAACTAAGAAAGCACATTGCTTTTCAGTAACTTATTCATTAGCTATAAAAATCTACAGAAAGATATTTTTGGAAATTAAGTTAATAAATTTGGCCAAATACCATCATCAACTCTATTACATTTGTCTTGGCTTTAAGGACTGTAGATTAAAAATTATTTTTTATTTTTATTAATTTAACAAAGAATCACATGTTAAAGTAATTATGCCTCTTGAATCTTAATGAAAATATCATAGCTAAACTTTAGTTTTGAAATGACTGGAAAGAGATTCACGTGATACTGAGTTTAAGAAGTTGGATATAATAAAAATTAGACAAAAATCAGTTTAAGTTTCCTTTAAAAATATTGCTTAAGACACTCAAAGCTATGCAAAGAATTCTATGATAAAATTATATTGATGCGAGAGGGGAATAGCCTTAAAATTAAACATAGTTTGTGAAGTGACACTTGAAAATCACAGTAATTCTAAAACATTGTGTTCTATGATCAAGTAATTATTAAAAAGATCTAGAAAAGAGTACATAATCAAATCAGAAGTACAGAAAAAATTGTGTATTTTTTTAAAAAGCCCTCTGCAAATGAAACTGAAAGGAAATGAAAAAAAGGCATAAAATTCTAGAGACCAAAGCTAAAAGAAATGTACAATAGTTGTGCAAATCATGCTTTAGAATACGAAATATAATTGCTTTATATATTAATGGGAATTACTACCTGCTTTCTAGTTATGCTTTAAGTGAAAGAAAATATAGCTTTTGATCATAAGAATGTAATAAACCCAGAAAGAAGCTGAAGGGGTATAAACTTGAGAGAAGAGTTTTCTCACTCCGACTTTTTCATCTCCAGAGAGCAACTTCTTAAGAATGGAGGTTGGGAAGCACATGCACTTTGAAAATAATTGGGAATCTTTGTATTTCTTTTTTATTTTAATTCTAGCCTTTTAAATTTACAAGAAGATTTTTGCATACCTTCTCTTTCTCATCAGATAACTCCTTACTTTCTCTGCTTTTTCTTTCCGATTTTCCTCCTTCTTTCCCTTCCATGAGTCATATTGTTTTCTTCTTCATCCAGTGATTTTAAACACACATGTTTTTATGAGTTTTGATATTATTGTTGATAGGTGTTGTGAGTCAAGTACGACTCACAGTGACCCTACAAACAACAGATCTGAATCCTTTCCTATCCTGTGCCATCTTAATCAGTTCTGACAACTTTGAGCTCATTGCTGCAGTCACTGTGTCAATCCATCTGATGGAGGGTTTTCCTCTCTTCTGATGACCTTCCATCTTCCCAAGTATGATACACTGCAATTCTGAAGTAGTTCAAATTCACCAGCTGCTTCATGGAAGAAAAATGGAAAATCTCCTTCTGTGAGATTAAACTTCCTTTTAAAACCCCCTGAAGGGTCAGCAGTGAATTGGTTCCTACTCTATCATACACAATAACAATAACAAGCAAAGGTCCAAAGTATGTAACATGAAAGTTTGTCCTCTTTGCCTCCAACGAGAACTCTATCTGCATTTTCTCCAGGATATATCTGTTTGTTCTTGGGGATGTCCCTGAGATAGTCAATACTCTTTTCCATCACCACACTTGAAAGGCATCAATTCTTCTTTCCTTATTCATTGTCTAGCCTTCGGAAGCATGGTAAGTGATTGAAAAGATCATGACCTGAATCAGGCATACACCTTAGTCCTCAAACTAACATCATTGCTCTTCAATAATTTGAAGAGGACTACAGACTTTACAAGGGTTAGATCTGTTGTTCATAGAATTGCAATGAGTCATAGAGCTCTGTTGGAGAGTTATGCTACCAAGCCAAAGGGGGGTGATTTTAATCTATGGCCTTGAGGCCTGGTTTTACTTGTTTTTGGTCAAACACTCTTCTAAGTGGTATAATACTGGTCTGTCAATTTGTTGTACAGAGATAACTCGTAGTTGCTGTGATGCTGAACACTGTGACACTGATGTGTCAAATGTGATAATGGTTACCCATGGTAGACAGTGTTTACTGGAGCTCCCATGTTATAACAGGCTTGGAAGGAGTGGCACCCACTTCCAAAACAGCTTGCCTCTGGAAATTCTATGAACTTAGAGAAACAATGAAAGTTATACAAGTGTTCAGGTCTTTTGTTTGTAGGATCGCTATGAGTTATCGGTGATTCAACAGCACTTAACAACAACAGACTGCCGTTGCAATACTTCTCCTGATCCCCTGACTACTGGTATCACGGGTTTTGACTGCAGGTCTAAATAAGATGAAGTTATTGACAGTTACAATCTTTTCTCCATCTTTTTTTAGTTTGCTAGGCTCTGTAGTCAACAGTCTTGGCACCAGCAGCAAGGAAATTAAGAGGCGCATTGCCATGGGAAAGTTTACTGTTACGGACCTCTCCAAAGTACTGAAGAGCAATGGTGTCTCTCTAGAGACTAAGGTGCATCTGATACAGGCTATAGTCTTCGCAATCACTTGTTATGCATCAGAGAGTTGGACAATGACCAAGGAGGATAGAAGGAGAATTGATGCCTTTGAGCTGTGGTGCTGGAGAAGAGTACTGAGAATACCATGGACTGCTAGGAAAACAAACAGATTTGTCCTGGAAAGGGTTAAAACCGGGTGGCTCCTTGGAGGCAAGATTTTGAGGCTCCGTCTAACCTACTTTGGACATGTTGTGAGGAGAGACCGGTCCTTGGAGAGGGACATCATGCTTGGGAGGGTGGAGGGACAGCGCAGGAGGGGAAGGCCCTCTATGAGGTGGATTGATTCAGTGACTGGGATAATTGGGATGGGAGTGTCAGAGACAGTGCGATTGGCACAGGACAGAGTGGAGTTTAGGGCTGTTGTACATAGGGTCGCTATGAGTCGCAAGCAACTCGATGGCACATGACAACAACAACAACAACCAGGCTGGTTCTTAGAGATAAGTATTTTGAAGCTCCATCTCATAAACTTTGGGCATGTTGCCAGGAGAGATTAGTCTTTGGAGAGGGATATCATGCTTGGAAAGAGGGAGAGACAGCACAAGAGAAGAAGACCATAGATGACTGGGATAACAAGGGTAGATGTGTCAGATAATGAAATCTGTTCAGGATAGTGAAAGATTCAGAGCTGTTTTGTGTAGGGTTGCAAGCAACTCAATGGCACATAAAAACATCAGTTGCGTGGAGAAATTTTGTTTTCTGACATTGAGATGTATGGAAGTGTACAGTGTTTGATCTTCTGTGGCAAATGCTTCAAGTCCTCCTCACTTTAGACTGTATCATCTCTATATTGTTCTTGTTATGTGTCATCAAGTTGCCTGCAACTCATAACAACCCTATGTACAGCAGTTCTGAAGCCTGCTCTGTCATGAGCCAGTCTCACTGACTTCAGTACATCTACCCCCAGTATCCCAGTCACTGTGTCAATCCATCTCATCCCTGGTCTTCCTCTCCTTTGCTCTCCCTCCACCCTCTCTTATGTTTATGATGATGAACTTCTCCAAGGTTTTGTCTCTCCTGGCCTTGTGCCCAAAATGTGTGATATGTAGCCTCAAAATCTTGCCCTTCAAGGGGGAGAAACTTTGTTTCACCCTCTCCACGACAGACCTTTTTTTTTTTTTTTTTTTGGTCCATTTCTTCTCCAGTATTACAACTCAAAGACATCAGTTCTTTTTCTGTCATCTTCAGACATGTCCCTTTCTCTGATGCATAGCAAGTAATTGTGAAGACCATGGCCTGGATCAGGTGCAGCTTAGTCTCTAGACTGACATCATTGCTTCTCAGTACTCTGGAGAAGTCCCTGACAGCAGATTTTCCCAGTGCAATTTGTCTTTTGATTTCCTGACTTCTGGAGTATTGACTGTGGAGCTGGGCAAGCTGAAGCTATGGACAACCTCAATATCTTCTCTACCTATCATGGTGCTGCTTATTGACACAGTGGTGAGAATCTTTGTCTTCCTAATGCTGACCTTCAATTCATATTGAAAAATACAGTCCTTTACTTTCTATAGCAAGCACTTCAGGTGTCCCTCAGTTTCAAAGAGCAATATTGTATCATCTGCATAAAGTCTGTTGTTGATGAGCCTTCCTCCAATCCTGATGCCACAGTCCTCTTCGTGAAGCTCAGCCTCCTACATGATCTGTTCTGCAAGTAGATTGAAAAGGTATGGAGACAAAATGCATCCTGGATCACTCCTTTTCATGATTTTTGATTAAGCAGTGTTTCCTTGTTCTCTTCTGAGAACTGTCTTTCCTGGTCCCATTATAGGTTTTGTATAAGCACAATCAAGTGTTCTGGACTTCCCGTTCTCCTCAAGATTAGCCACAATTTGTTGTTACCTGCACAGTCAAACTCCTTTTCATAGTCAATGAAATACAGACAAACATTCCTCTGGAACCATCTGACATTAGCATTAATATCACTAGTTTCATGGCTTCTTCTAACCTAGATTAAACTTCTAGCAGTTCCCTGTCAATGTATTGTTCTAGATGTTTTTGGATGATCTTTATCCATATTTGCTTGTTTGTGATAGTAATGATATTTGGTAATTTCCTCATTCTGTTGGATCACCTTTTTTTGAGAATAGGAAGGAGCAAATATGGATCTCTTCAGTCAGTTGACAAAGCGGCTGTCTTCCAAATTTCCTGGCATAGACTTAAAGGCATCTCTACGGCTATATCTGTTAGTTAAAACATGTTAATTAGTAATTACTTAGTCCTATAAATTCCTGACAACTTAATTTTTTTGCCAGTGCCTTCAGTACAGCTTGAACTTCTTCTTCTGTCCTCATTGCTTCTTGATAATATGGTACTTCTCATAATAAGTCTTTTGCCAATTATTTCTAATATAGTGATTGTGTGTAATTGCTTCCATCATTTCTTGATGTTTCCTGGATCATTCAAGATTTTGCTTATAGTATGTCTCAGAACATACTACAGACGTGGGAGTTGTACGTGGGAGTTGTGTTGTGTTGTGGCGGTCTCCAGAGAAAGGCGACTCTGCCTCCAGGAGCCAGGGAAGCCACGCTTGGCCTTGGGTTGAAGGTAGCAGTGGCTTCAAGCCCAAAAGGAGAAGAGGAGGGAGGAGATGGCCATAATCGCCCAGGTTTGCCCCACCCAGGGTGGCTGTGATCCTTTGGCCAGAGAGCATGATGCTGTGTACTTGGGAGTTGTGTTGTTTTGTTGTGGCGGTCTCTGGAGAAAGGGGTGGGGTGGAGCTCCCTGATTAAACAAGCGTGGAAGGAGGAGTGGCATCCACTTCCATAATAGCTTGCCTCCGGAAACCCTATGAACCTGGAGAGAGGATGAAAGACACACAAGCGTCGAGGACTCTCCTTCATAGGGTCGCTATGAGTAGCCTGCGACTCGATGGCACTTAACAACAACAACAACATGTCTCAGAACTGTAACTTGAAGCTTGACTTTGATGGTTTCTTTAAATTTTGCTTCATACAATCTTTAATTTTCATTCTATTCCATTCATTTATCTTGTAGGAGTGTTTTTTCCTTATGGTCATCTTCCTAATAACTACTTTTGTGAAAGCATGTAAACTACTTCATGCCTCATACCCTAATAACCCTTCCTTTTAAGATAGCCCGTTTATGCTTTGCCCATCCTATCAAACCAGTACTCTGTGGGAACAAGCATGTTCCTTTTGCTGAAGGATCCTCTGTTCAAGTTGGAAACTTTGAGCATCTGTATCCAGAAGCAAAGTTCAGTTCAGAGCAAGCCCTCTGATTGCAGCAATGGACTCTAGCTCACAGCATGGATTATCTTCTTGTTAGCTGGTTGGTTTCTGGTCCACTCATTGCCATCCATCTGTGGCTGGGTTCAAATGGCCATCAGCTTCAAGTTCAGGAGGCCACACTTCTGTGTTCCAGATCTGTCATTGTCTCCTCACTCAACCCTAGGCTCCACAGGGCGCCAAATCAAGTCAATAAGCCAAGAGTTCTCACAACTCGCTGATGCTCAAGCCAATGACCCTTTTCTGCTTAATCACCCATCTGTGCATACTTGATAAACAACACTGGAGAAACACATCCAAGTTCAGCCTGTTTCTCC